GCGGGACGGAAGGGAGGGAGAAGGCGCGGGGAATGTGGGAAGGAGGAGAAAATGGCAGGGAGAACAAGATGGCAAGTAGGAGGAGGGGGAGAAGATGGCAGGAGGAGGAACTTCAAGATGGTAAGGAGCTGGAGTAGTGGGGGAAGGAGAGGGGAAGAGGAGGATGAAGAAGATGACATGGCAAGGTTGTGTGCAAATGTGTGAGGAGGAGGAAGGAAGAACATGGCAAGGAGCAAGAGGAGGCATGGAGGAACGCGRGGGGAACCTGGGGGGAAGGAACAGGGGAAGGTGAGGGGTGGGGGATTCGGGGAAGAAGAACCTCAGGGGGAAGAAGGCGGGGTCGAATATGGGATGAAACGCGGGACGGAAAGGAGGGAGAAGGCGTGGACGCGGATGGGATGGAACGCGGGACGGAAGGGAGGGAGAAGGCGTGGGGAATGTGCGAAGGAGGAGAAGATGGCAGGAAGAAGAAGATGACAAGTAGGAGAAGGAAAGGGGACGGAGGAGTAAGATGGTAAGGAGCTGGACTAGTAGCAGAAGGAGAGGGGAAGAGGAGGAGTAAGAAGATAACATGGCAAGGTTGTGTGTGTATGTGTGAGGAGGAGGAAGGAAGAACATGACAAGGAGGAAGACGAGGCATGGAGGAGCCGGAGGATACAGGCAAAATATTCCTCATAGAAAACGATTAAATAAACCATATCAGGCAGGTTACAAACACAGTCCTCAATCCCTACATCCATGCAAGGAAGAGGACCTTTTTGTTGTCGTTCTTGCCTGGACTCAAGATTCTAGGGCTCTGTCTGTAACCTTGGTTGAGGAGGAGGACGATGCAAAGAAGATGGATGATATAGGCCTACATTAGCCTTTGCAAATGACATGAACGAAACAAGTCAGCCAAGTTACAAATACAGTCCCACATCCTTAGATCCAGGTAAGCAACAAGAAGAAATGAGAAAGACACGTCCTTCAAGTGTTTCTGTTCTTAGGCAGAAATTCCACCTCGAGCACTACATGTTTTTCTCCCGCGACCACTACAAGTTCTTCTCAGACCTTTAAAAAACGGTATTTTTCATTTCGCTGTCATTGTTATTTGAATCGGAACTATAGGGCTATATCTTTAACCTTGGTTGTGGAGCAAGAACATGGAAAGATGGGTAAGGATACAGGCCTACATCTTTCTAAAAAAATGACAGAATTACAAGAGATCTGGCAACTTATTAATAAACCATAAATTTGTCCTGCTTCGGTCCTCGAAGGAGTGTATTTCTTATTTATTTGTAATCAAAGTTTATAGCACTATACTTTTAAAAATAGCAGTTTAAGATTTCGAAAAACATGCAAATCATAAGAGTTATTCTTACAGCGAAATTATCAAAGACAATTTTTTTTTTCTCTCTCTCTCTCTCTCTCTCTCTCTCTCTCTCTCTCTCTCTCTCTCTCTCTCTCTCTGTGTCCATGTTTGTAAATTTGTTTATTCGATACTCCTGACGATCTACACTGGAACCACGGTCATTAAGCAACTACGACGCTGATTGACGCTGCTTTCTCTCTCTCTCTCTGTTTGTATCTGTATGTTTGTTCTCTGAGCTCACAATTCAGAAATCTTGTAGCGGGGTCGTCCAAATTTTCCTGGTTTGGTCTCCAAGAAGTAAAATTTTGTATTCAACCCGTAAGCGGGCGCTTGGCGTTCAATATTGTTTGTTTTACCGGGTCGTGGCTCTCCGAAATTTGGTCGCTAGCTCTCTAAAATTTCAATTTTCGAGACAACCGTTGGCGGGAAATCTAAATTTTAACGATGTTCTTGACGACGATCTCAGTGGCTGGACGGTCGGAATTATTTGTTTTGGCGGGAGTCCGGACTCTCCGAATTTTTGTCGCTAACGATCCGAAAATTACACTTTTGCAAAAACCTTCGCGGAAAATTGACAACTTTTAAAGATATTCTTTACGGGGATCCCAGTAGCTGGGTGCGGGTTGTGGTTTTCCGAAATTTGGTCACTAACTCTCTAAAATTTCAATTTTCGAGACGACCGTTGGCGAAAATCTAAATTTTAACGATGTTCTTGACGACGATCCCAGTGGCGGGGCGGTCAAAATTATTTGTTTTGGCGGGAGTCCTGGTTCTCCGAATTTTTGTCCCTAACGATCCGAAAATTACACTTTTGCAAAAACCTTGGCGGAAAATTGACAACTTTTAAAGATATTCTTTACGGGGATCCCAGTCGCTATCGGCTCAAAAATTGTACTTCTCCAAAATCCGTTGGCGGGAAATCAAAAATTGCGAATGATGTTCTTGACGGGGGTCGCAGTAGCGGGTGTTCTCATTTTATTTCGATTTGGTGTCCAAGAAGTCTACGCCCGTTAGCGACTCTCTTCCGCCCGTCCTCTGACACACTTTCTCGCACTAACACCGAGTCTTTTTTTTTGTAGGTGACCCCATCGTCATTTCTAGATGCCAGATAGGTTGTCGTATCATATCTTCCATGTTCAAGAAGTCTACGCCCGTTAGCGACGCTCTTCCGGCCGTCCTC